TCTCAATATCCAGGTATAATCTGTTTTACCTTATTTTTGTAATAGATTATAACCAGAAATTACAGTTAATAATTATCTGTTGCTACATTTTAAAATATTTTAGTAATGTACTTCTTTCTAAAAAGATGTTTAGATCCTTATAAAAATATATTTTTATTAACAATTAACAAAAGTTAACAAATCAACAAAAATTAATAAATTTTATTAACAAAAAGTCCGTTAAAATTATTGAAATATTCTAGTTGAGATAAGACATATTTCTCAATTTGTGATGATTTATCGACAGTGAGGGGACATGTGGCATGTGTATGTGTACGTGTACACACACATCTGTGTTTGAACATTGAGATTCTCAAAACAGTTGAACAGCCAGAATAGGACTTTGAATTACTGATCCTGGAAGGCAATTATGTAGTTTGAAAATAAAATAAAATGCCTATCTACCCAACCAGACCTGAAATATTGAGCAGAGTAAATCAATACAAAGCTAAATTCTTGGAACTCAAGGATGTAGCACCTACATCTACGAAGATGCAGGATAGGCGTAATTAAGAAGATATCTATAATAGTGTTGTTTCAGCAGCTCCATACTTTTCACCCCAGCAATATACATATATACACACACACACATATACGTACACACACACACACACACACACACATGTGTGTTAAATGTAACGCAAAATCAGTAAAAATTCCATCTCCTTAACTCATGCACTTGCCAAGAGAAAAAAAAAAAAAAGAGTTTTCTTCCCTTTTATCCACTTTTGAGCAGGGAATTGGGTTTGGCTAAGCATGAGTCAGGTCCCGACATGTTTTTGCAGAAGAAAGAAGGGGAGGTCAGCACATCAAAAAATACAAGCCAGACAGGTAACTCAGAAATGTAGTTGTACCCTATTTCCTGGATTCTAGTTTCCATAGCCATGATGGGGAAATTGATTCTGATAGCTTGACAGAGAAATAAACCACTCTTCTTACAGCTACCCAAAGGACTTCAGTTCATAGAGAACATACTTTCATCTCATCACCACTGAGGAACAGCAATAGCCCCTTCTTGTCTGAACATTGTCTTAAAGGCAGCATAAGAGCTTACCAAATGGGAAAGGCAGTGAAGGATATTATTCATAGGGAGCCACATCCATTAAACACTGTTATTCATCTGGCTAGGATAACAAGATAAATTCACAGATAAATTCAGTTGTGAAGTGGTTTGGATGGGTCCTCACCCAAAACTCATCTTGAACTGTAGCTCCCACAAGCCCCATGTGTTGTAGGAGGGACCCAGTGGGGGATAATTGAATCACAGTGGCAGGTTTTTCCATGCTGTTCCTGTGACAGTGAATAAGTCTCACAAAATATAATGATTTTATAAAGAGCAGTTCCACTGCACACACTCTCTTGCCTGTCACCATGTAAGATGTGCCTTTGCTGTTCTTTCACCTTCCACCATGATTGTGAGGCCTACCCAGTCATGTGGAACTGTGAGTCCATTGAACTTCCTTTTCTTTATAAATTACCCAGTCTTGGGTATGTCTTTATCAGCAGCATGAGAACAGACTAATACACAAAGTTAGAAGGAAATAATATTATCTCAAAGACATGCTACAACTATAAAGCATCATAATGAAGTCCTCGTTGATTGTGTACTACTTTCTTAGGTACTGGCTTGTTCTCCAAAGCCACAGAGGATCAGTTTGTTGTTTGAAATTATATCATTAGTAAAAAGCATCCAAATCTTGTTTGGAGGATCTAAGTTACTTTGACACAAAGAAGCAGTCTTGATTTCCAGCCCAGGTAAAGAACCTAAATTAAGAAATTTCTTCACAAAATATTCCACATCTATATTGACTGTGAAGTTTCCAAGGAAAGAGGATCCTAGGTCCACCTCACTATCCAGATCTGATGTTGAACTCTTTGCAAATAGTACACATAACTCTGCTCTAACAAAACACTACTTCACTGAAATTGTGTCTAAATTCTACTCTCTGAAAAAATATTCTAAAAATTCTGTTTCTTTTCCTCCTTTTCTTTTCTTTTTTCTTCCTTTCCTTTCCTTTTATTATTTCTTTTATCTCTCTTTCTTTCTTTCTCTTTCTTTCTTTCCCTTTTTCTTTCTTTCCCCATCCTTCCTTCCTTCTTTTCTTTCTTCTCTTTCTTTTCTCTTCTTTCTTTCTTTCT